TAGGGAGTTAGTCATTTTTCCAGTACGGGCTGGTTAAAATTAAAAGTTTGGGGCACAAATAAAAAGAGTATACCCACTTGTCTCACTACACCACTGCATGTAAGGCTGTATTTAAACATCCACAGCCCACATTACACCATATTTCTTTTTGGTGTTTTTTTTGGATTTCCTATCATGGCACCATATTAAAGCCTATATACATGCAGAACTATATGACCCATGTAGTCTGGCAGGTGTTGAGCTCATACCTGGCTTTCCATCTCTCCGGCTGGGTCGAGGCTTGCTGGCCAGCTGATAAGGTATGGTAGCCTTGAGGGCTGTGGACCCCAAGTAGCTCCCGCCCCCGGATCTGTCCAACTCCACTTCGGCCAGACATCTTTCCAAGGAATAAATCTGATTCTGGGGGAGGAGGGGGGGGGGCTACCTACCTCTTAACTAACTAACTAACTAATTGGAGAACACACAAAAAAGAAAAAGGAAAAAAAAAAAAAAAGCAATGGCTGTCCTGCCTGGTGCAGATCTGGGGGCGCTGTGTGGAAACACTGGTGGCTGGATAAGCTGCAACCCTTCCTCCACTGGTGATGATGAACACTCAAACCCCCGTTACCAGATTCAGCCTCGAGTCGTACAGAAAACCCATTTCTCAGTAAATACAACTACCATCAACACTTATCTCGACAGAAGAGCTTCAGATAAAGTCTTCGGCGGTGAACATACTTTTTCTTTCCCTCCTCTCTCTCTCTCTCTCTCTCTGTCTCTCTGTCTCTCTGGCTTGTGTGCGAGTTAGCAGCCTAGCAAGCAAAAGTTTCTTTGTGAGGATGTTGAGATATTTTCACCCCGCTGTCGAACAAGGAAGCAGCTCCAGTGTTTTTTTAAAAAAAGAAAGTCACTTTAACGTCAACTCCGACGTCTTCTGAGAGGAAAAAAAACTTGAGGTTTATTTCATTAGTTTTGTTTCTGGAGGGTGTTTTGGTGGCCCCAGAAAAAAGTTGCGAGGTGGTCCACAGTGATTTTCCCCCTCCGTGTAAACTCTAAACAGTCCCAACCACGCTGGTGTGGATTTAATTATGGGAGGGGGCGGGCCCCGGCTCTGGTTCTCACTTCTGATTGGTCAGCGGAGGCTCCGTCTTCAATCCCATTGGACGACCCGCTATCAATCTGTCAAACCTTGGACAATGAAATTTGCTGTCACCGCCCCCTAATTCATATCGGCATATTAACTGGATTTTCTCCATTAAATTCGTGTTAAAATACCTTATTTCAGCTTTTTATGTAAGAAAGTCGACAATGTGCAACGACACTGATAATAAATTATTAAACTTCATTCATGGTTGAAGCTGTAGTTTTCCATTTTACGCGTAGACCTGTTGCCCATGCATTTAAAGGGCCATACCAGTGTGTGTGCAAGGTTTAGTTTTTCAACTACAAATCATTTAACCTTTAACATTATTGCTTACCATTTTAAAATGCATCAGAATCTGAATCAGGTTTATTGCCAAGTAAGTTCCACATACATACATTGGTTACAAGATTAAAATAAAGACAATAAAAAGGAGCCACTATATACAAATATAAAGAGTGAGAGAATATGTACAAAATGGCTAGATACTTAAATAAATGAGTAAAGAGCTGTACGGAAATGTGCATAAAAGTTTGCCGGGAAGTCTGCATGTCAGTTGTTAAACATAATATATAATATATACATAGTTATGTATTACATACATATATACATAATTATATTTGCAATGTGCAAATAAAAAAACAATAGAAGTGCATTAATGTAATACAAATATACAGGTTGTGTTTAAGAGTCAGTGTCAGTGGGGGGTCTATACAATTTAACATTTCTTTGATGTATTTTCTCCACCTTCACTGCTTTTCAATAATTGTAATTCAGCATGAAAATAACTATATACAGACTCCTGAAACTGGAACCCGGTGAGCATCATGTCCGCTTTAATTTTTGTTAGTGTTACATCGTCATTGTGTGGTGATGCAATATAAGAGTAAAGAATAAGATTGATTTTAAAAGTCTGCACCGCATTACCTCATACCAATAATGTGATTTGACAAAAATTAATGCACAGTTGATGTTCACTGTGATGGATCACACAAAGCACAAAGCAAGTTTCAAGAGTCCGCTAAATAATAGATTTTCATACCAAATGAAATGAACGGGGAAACCACTAGATAGCCAGAAGTAGGAAAAATATGATCACATGACTAAAACATGGTGGCATGGCCTGCAGAATTGTTAGCTGATCTGTAATTGGCGATCTTCATTTATTCATTTGTAGGCTAATTATTTCATCATACTATCATATCACACCAGCTGGGTGTGTGTGCACCATCTGGGTGGACTGTAAAGTGGTTTTGGGTGGTGTGTGTGTGTGTGCACGTGTGAGAGACAGTGTGCATTGTAGGAGATAAATGCCCTGACTGTATGTAAAAAGGAGTGCCAATGGTTTGACAAGAGTAGGATGCAGAGATAACGTGGCATGCATTTTTAGAGGCAGATCCCCGACCAGTGCTGAGGCCTTCAGCGTCCCCTCATTCAAACCAAACTGCCAAACAGCGCATGCTTAGATAACACGCTTGTGTTTCTGGCACACCAGAATGGGAGTGAATGTGCTTTATCACACAAGGGTGAAGTGCTGAACCATGCGTCCAGCAGCCTGCTCATCTGTCCGGTGCAACTCCACCCAACAATTGATGTCACTTTTACAAAACAGCTAAACACAAAGCCAGATAACTAAACCCAACTTTTCACAATTTGTCCGGTACCCATTCGTTTTACACCGGGCAGTTAATTGGACAGTATGTCGATGTGGAATGTTTCTCCTACATAATGCTTTTCCAACGTTTACTAAAGGGCCTTCAGCTGCTGTTTGTTTAGCTCTGTGAAATTGTCTGTGTTAAAGAATGAATGATCCTAACCTATGACCTCACGCAAGTCATTTCAAACCCATTTGAAGAGAGACGATTCTGCTTCACAAAGGGGAGACGTGAAAACAAAATGTGACCGAGGCACAGGGGGAAAGAGCGTGTGTCGGGCTTCCTTGGACTTACAGTAATTGATATTGCTGTGACGTCAACTATTCCTTTAAAGTTAATTTTATTTGCCCCCCTCCCCCCCCAGTCTTTTTTAGTTTTGTGCGAGATTTTGGCAATCAGGTTCGTAATAAATTGACTCAACAGTCAGTTTACATTCAACAGCAAAAGTCTGTGGATGTTTAGCAGGCATAATCTTTACTCTGATCTCCATAGTTTAGTGACACAAAGTAAAACTGAGGCTGATTTAAATTATTTACACTGCCATTTAAACATAAACCACAATGCTTGTTGTGGCACTATAGTAAAATCTCTGGTATCATTAAGTCAGTGGGATACATGGTCTGTAAACCATGAATGCGATGTGGTGGACCGACCTATCAGCAGACTGACACTGCCATCAGTAAAGCCACACAGCATGCCGCTAGCATAGCTTAACAACACATAGCTAGACAAGGGTCTGCCACAGTATCGTCTGTTCTTAGGCACAGCTGTGCTATGTTTTTTTAATGCTAACATCAGCATGCTAACATGCTCATAGTGACAATGCTAACATGCTGATGGAGCAGGTAATGTTTACCATGTTCACCAACTAAGTTTAGCATGTTAGCATGCTAGCATTTGCTAAGTACAGCTGAGGCTGATGGGAATGTCATTAGTTTTGCAGGTATTTGGACACCAAAGGATTGGTCAAATTGAAAATGTCAGTGGGGCTATTGGAAAAGTCACCAAAGATATTGTGATACATTATCAGTCTGCACAAAATTTCATGGCAATCCATCCAATAGTTGAGATATTTAGTCTGTATCAAAATGGTGGACGGACTGATTGACATTTGCATCGAACGAACAACCAACAGAATAAACGTCCATCGCATACCAGCATTTAATGTTTCCAAAAAAGGCAGTTTTATTGCAATTTTACATCACACAATGCATCCCAACTCTCAACAACACTGCATGAGATTGCAATTTACATGGTGGTAAATGATATAAGTAAGTCATGAAATTAATTATAATATAAAAAGAATAGATCATAAGAAAAAAAAACAAGGGCAATAAATCTAGTGACACACACACACACGCACGTTGCACATTCACTATTTCTCTCCTGCTCAAACTACTCAATCCAGGTTTGTAGAAAAAGACAATGAAAACATTCATTCTGCATAGTCTCAATGCACTTTGCATTTGCATGCAATAGATAGTATGCCTGTTTTTTATGTTCACATTGTAATGGCTCTGCAAACCTTGGTAGCCTGACAGGTCTTGTATGTCACAACATAAAATCTGTATCTAACCTACTGTATGATTGAATAAGGCATTAACTGCCATTCATCCTAATATCATGAAGCTGCATCTGTTAATTTTTAAATAATCTTCATCATAAAACAGTCGGGCCACTTTAACTCAGCACATTATAAGCCTCTCTTTTTCTCTCTTATAATAGTGTAACATAATATGGCAAAACATTGTTTCTGTTCCCTAAAAGGTTATACCAGATCATCCACCCTGCACTGTCAGTATTATGCAAGAGGCAGAATAGAATACACTGACAGACTGATAAGACACAGACAAATGGACAAGTACATACAGAACAACCCTACAGTGAGTTTTAATGAATATGACCAGTTGATACATGACTGTAAGTGCACAAAATCAAGCATCATGTGACTTAATAGTTGTCAAACTCAAACCAGTTGTTTGCATGTCAAGAGGCTTAATCATGTCAAGACAAAGACAGTGAAACTGAAGGAGGCCGCCAGGCAGTACGGCAGCTATTCCTGCATCTTTGTCGCACAGTCCCACACACGGAGGCTACTCTTTCACAAATGCTTAAAAGGTGTCAGTCGAGAGAGTGCTGGGCTCAGAGCGTAAAGGTAAAGGGACTCACGTAGGGGCCACAAAGACAGCATTTGTCCGCCTACCAAATGTAGTCTTTTTGTATTCATGTTGAATTGTCTCAGTGTCTGTTAAGTGGTTGGCAGTGTTTCTTTGGCGCCCCCTAGCTGGGAGAGAGGGCAGGACTGTTCTCTGTGCTGATATTAACCAGGCACTCGCTGGATTTGAGGCTAGCCAGAGACTTGCAGCTCGGGAGCGAGGCCAAGGACCCACACAGTCCCATCATGGAGGGGGTGTAGTCCTTTTCTGGAAGGGTGGGACAGACATACAAAGGGTCAGTTCAAGTGTTTACTCACTAATTATCTTACGAGAACACATTGTGGTAAAGTGTGTGACTGTAAAATGTCACCTGTGCACCAGGCTCCTCCATTCTGTTTCCCCTCCATCCTCTGGGAGTCTGAGTCCAGGCTGATCTCCACTGACAGCAGCTCTGTGCTGGGGAAACTCCTCCTGCAGGTAAACACAAGTTAAGAGTTAGAGTCAATACAGTCGAGTGCTTCCAGGCAGGCCTGAAAATAGTATTATTTTATTGGTTGTAGCTGAAAAAAATAAAAATATATCATGGCATGTATTAAATTTATATTAAAGTTGATTGTTAAATTAAAAGTATGCAAATATATTGCGTATATTTCTGTTGTTTTGGTGAATTTTATATTAGAGTTTACATTTTTTGATAATCAGTTAATTGTTTTAGTCATTCGTTTCAAACAAAAATGTCAAACTTTTGTTGGTTTCAGCTTCCCAACTGTTAGCATGCAAAGTTTTTCTTTGTCATATGATAGTAAGTTTAATATGTTTGGGTTTTGGACTGTTTATCAGATAAAACAAGCTGTCAGTTTTCACTTTTTTCCAACATTTTGAGGACCAAACGATTAATTGATTAACTGAGAACTATGGATCTCAAATAATTAAAAAGTTAATTTAATTCCCATTTATTAATGTGTTTTTCAATCATAAATTAATAATTGAAATTTGACATGGCATTACAAAATAAATTAAATGCATTTGCCTTTCATATTCTATCTCATTATTTGTCTCCTGCTACATTAAGTTAAAGATGTGTTGATAAGCAGCGTGCCACCTAAAAATTAAATTAAATAAAATCCACAGAGAAGTAGCAGACTCCTGCCAACACATAGCAGCAATAGTTTTTATTAAGTGATTATAATTAAACACAGTTAAAGTCTATAATTATTCCCGATGCACACTCCAGGCTCCCTATCTTGACAGTTTTTTATGTGTCTGTTAAGATAAAAAAAGCAAATATATTGTATATAGGGATATAGATAGAGGCACATGTACTGTTCGTATTATACATGGTCCATATAGTATATAATGTTTGTGCACATGAATTAGCCACATCTTTGTCAATATAATATTATTATTATCTTCTATGATAATCGCTTGTTTATGGTATGCGTGTGTACATCTGTTTGTCTTTTCAATTATTTCCAGTTAGATTACTTGTGCTGCATGTAAGCTCAGTTATGCTAGGAGACAGACACTAGGTCAAACCTGCGGAATAGCTTGACATCCTCTTTGTTGTTGTATGGTTGGAGTGTCGGCCACTGGTTAACCAAAGGGATTGAGAGGTTTTTGGCCAGGTGGTTGGAGTCACATGGAATCAAGCTTGTCCTGACAAACAAACGTGTACATCACATTATTAAGAAGTAATAAAATCATGGCCTTTGATACAGACCCACCACCAACTAAACCGATGAAAATGGTCAGTGGTTTTAAAGGTTATAATATGTGATTTAAGATGGGGATCTTTTCTGCTTCCCACAGTGTGGGAGACACCTGGACACTACCCTCTGGTTCCAGTACTCACAGTTGCTCCTGAAGCTCCAGCACTATGTCCTCCAGTTCCTTCTTCTCCTGTAGGCTGTGGCTCTGTAGCTCCTCCAGTCGGGCCTTTAGCCTTTTGTTCTCTGTTTCGGTGTTCTTCAGCTGGGACTCACGCAGGCGCACAAGCTCCTCCAGGTAACCCTGACAACGCACATCCACACTGAGTGAAAGGAAACATCCACCCTTGGATACTCATATTATCATCATCCATCTGTGATGCTCAGTGTATTTTAAACCAAAAAATGTTGTGGTGTAGCGTGCCCCCACTTTTCCTCAACCCTATGCAGTCAACACAAAAACACAAGTTTACATGCCATATTTAATATGTAAGAGTAACACTTTTGAATAGCTTGACCCTTGGCTATTAAGACTTAGTTCTCTGATATTTTATAGTGTAAATTATTTTGTTTTAATTTGTCATCTTGAATCCCATCTCAGCTGACTCAATTAAAGGAATATTCTGACATTTTAGTAAAATACACACTCTGGTTTCTTGCTGAAAGTTAGAAGAGAAGATCAATATCACTCTCATGTTTAAGAAGAAAGAAAGAAGAAGATATACTTTATTGATCCCCAAGGGGCAATTGTTTTTTTCACTCTTTTTTTTTTTTAAACACACACACATGCTGAAATGCACAATTCATGCACATGTGGACATGCAAAGGGGAGAGATGGTGGAGTGATGGGGCTGCCGCCTTACCAGCGCCCCATGAGCAGGT